ATGCCTAGTTTTAATTAGCACATGAACTAGTTTTGTCCCACTCCTAGACTAGTTGCCAACAATGACTAGAGAATCCACTCTACCCTGCTATTTAACCTGTAGTGGGGATCAATAATTATTGAGCATTAAATGAAAATAAAGTTCAATAAACCTTTCTTAGGTAAAAACTATATAAAGAAGAACTGAAATGATGTTTACATCCTAAGGTTGAAAAAGTTCAGAGTTGTGACCAAAAGAATTCTGGGAAATCCTGTTGCATCACAAAAATTATTCCATTCTTCTACAGCAGGTCATGATAAACCATTTTTTTTTTATGTTCATGTTATCACGTTTTTTTCCAGTTCATTTGATGCTGGTCTTAAAAGGGAGGTAAATAAAAATGGATATATTTTTCTAACTCTGTGATGCCTCCTACAGAGAACAGATGATTAAATGGAATAAGAATTGTTGTCACTCTTCAAAAACAAGAAATGTGAAAAACAATTAAAACTTATTGTTCCAAAAATTAAGTCTTTTTTTTATTCTAAGTATCTATTCTGTCTACTAGAGAATTGTCTCTTTATCAAATTTAAATTAAGATTTAACTCTTTAGCATTCGATACACTCAAACCTGACCTATCAGCTCTCAAAGTCTCACTGCTTGTAGTCAAATTCTCACTGTTTGTGGTCAAATTCTCACTGTTTGTGGTCAAATTCTCACTGTTTGTGGTCAAAGTCTCACTGCGTGTAGTCAAATTCTCACTGTTTGTGGTCAAATTCTCACTGCTTGTGGTCAAAGTTTCACTGTTTGTGTGACATCCTGTATTATTTGATCTGATGTCATCATATATCATAGCAGAGTATCTATGAGGCAGGTTACAGCAGGTTGAACATTGAGAGCCGATATTTACAAGTCAGGCTTAAAATTTCCTTGCAGCTTTTATCCATGATTATCTTAGCATGCTTCTGTAGAACAACATCACTGTTGCTTCAAGTCACTTCTTCATCTGTGAGGAAATTGTCCAGTATCCACTGCGATATAGAAAGGTTTTCTTTCACATTCTGTGTCTCTTCTTCAGGATGTGGGTGATCATGGCTCGCCCCAACTTCATATCCTTCATAGTTCTTGGCAATTTTTGCTCATTTACTATCCTTCATAATCCCTATTTTGTCATCCATTGATACAAACTTGTTAGGTAGGTTGATCATAGCTCTCCACAACTTCCTATCTTTTGTAGTGCTAATCAATATTTGTCCTCTCAGTCCATGTTTTGTCATCTATTTACACAAGCATGTTAGGTAGGTTACTCAAGGTTTCCCTCTTCTCTTCAATATATCCTATGAGTGCCAATTTCTCCAAGCCCCCTTTTCTCATTATTCAACTCCATTTCCCTTAACCAGGGTTTCAGGAAGGTAAGAGAAGCAGAGGTGAATAGCTCATTGCCTACCTAACGAGCTTGTGTAAATGGATGGTAGAACAGGGACTGGGAGGGATAGCAAAGTTACAAAAATTTCTAAGAGTTAGATTGGAAGTTGTGGAGAGTCATGACTAGTCATATCCTGAAGCGACATACTACATAGAAAATTACATTGCTGATAGATGCACAGTTTGTGTAATGACTGTTGGCATGGAATTGGCAAAACAGTTTTTCTTAACAGAATTATGCATTTAGAATTCTACCATTCATCCATGCAATGAATATTTTGCTGCTACATTTGGTCTCATGCTTCTGTTATATATTTAGAGATTTTTTTTATAAAATCCAAAGAAGAATCTGCAATGTTATTTGTCCTGACTTGGTATCTCAGCTTCAGTCACTTTACCACCTTTGTAATTTTGTTTTTTCTATATATGTTTTTATGGTAATTGTCCTGACAAGCTTTCCTCTATGGTACCTAGACTTTATGAATTTAAGCACAGTACTAGATTGGCAGTTAGGTCTCATCATTTTATAACCATAAGCTTTATGCTAACAGTTTCTTCTCTTGCACTTCTCACTTGTTGAACACTTTTCTGGCTCCTTTATTCAACTTTGACCGTCAAAAATTTAAATGCAATGTCAGTCATTAGCTTCAGTCTTAATTCTTGTTCTTTTATTGTTCTCTTTTCATAATGTTTTTCTTTTTTCTCATATTCTTTCATTTCTTTTTTCTCATATTCTTTCCTTTGTGTCTTAGTGGCTTTATTGCCTTGCTTGGGATGAAATGATTAAAAAAATATAATGCTGAACAATTGCCTCACAGATGGATGCTGAGTATACCATAGACTGAACATGTGAACAACAAGGAAGTTTTAAGGAGACAGAAATGAAAAAGACACTTATATTTTATCTTAGAAAGAAACAGTTGAAAATTCTGGAATGCATAATGAGGAAAGAGGGCTTGGAGAATTTGACACCCACAGGACATTGAATGCAAGACAGGCATAGGAAAACAATGATTACAATACCTAACACCCTTGTGTAAATGGATGATAGGCTAAAGATAGCTTAGAGGAACAGGGTATAGGAAATTGTGGAGAGCCATAACTGTCCACATTTAGAAGGAACATGGCATATAAAATACTTACTGATTCTAAGTAAAAGTGTCTTTTTTGTTCCCATTTTCCTTAAAGATTTTTCGTTACATTCATGGTCTTCTCAGCATCCTTCTGTAGAACAAGGTCTTGGAGAATTTGACCCTCACAGGATATATTGAACCCAAGAGAGACAGAGAGAAACTGTAAGAAACCTAATGAACTTGTTTAAATGGATGGCAGAACAGAGAGGGGGAGGGACAGTAAGAAGACAAATGTTGTGAATTGTTACAAATAATTGGAAGAGCCAAGTTGCCCATAAAAAAAGTCAAAACCAGTGTTTTTCTATGCTGCATTTTTTCCGAGGCAGTACCAAATCACCTTATGCAAATGGAAACGTTTTATTATTGGACAAACTAGATTTTCTTGGTTGGAAGCTTAAATTGTTCAATCTTTTTGCTTTCATATTGCAGTATATAAAATCATCATCGACATTTCTTATTGATTCCTACACTTTTTTCTTTTTCCTTTGCATTTATCAAGTTTCAACTTGTTTTTCATATTTGGTCACACCACCACTTTGTCCACTCCCATCCAACTTTGGCATCTATTCACCTGGGATCGTTTTATCTGCGTAAATTACTTACAAGCTGAGATGAACGAGGAATAAATCCATGCAATTTTTATTGGTCTGTATAAAGAGTTGACCTGAATTTTTATTCTGGAAAAGAGCTTATCAAGGAATCATATTCATAGAATTTTTATATTTCAGAAGAGATGGGCAATGTTATTTACATTTAAAGAACATAAAAATTCTTATTTTTGTCTTAATTATTTTAGCCTTTTTTTTCTTTTTTAACTCAACAGCACTTCAGCCAATGTCTCAGCATTCCTCATATCTAAAAGTTGATTTTTATTTTTTCTTTAAATCTTCTAAACTTGAACAGAATCATAGGACTGTGTGCTAAGGTCAAAATTAGCAAAACCCTTTCCATTCATGTCAAAGAATCAGTCTTTGTGATAGGAGCTATTTGCAGTGAATCAAAGAGAAAATGTTTCTGTTGAGCCCTGATATGGAAGACCTTAACTGTTAAAATTAATTCTCTGATCACCAATTTCAACATTGTAACAGAAAGATATAAACAGATGCCTAGAGTTATAATGCCAAGAGTCACAATTCACAAAAATCAACTGGTTCAAGTCTCCGGCAAATGGTTATCTTCCCCAAATATCCCAATAAACTGTACCTTTTACTCTCTGACTCTCTCTACTTCAAGTGGCTTTTGGGCCTTGGACAGGATGAACATCAATGCAAAAAAAAAAAAAAATCAGATTCTCAAAGAATATTACTAACATATCAAATACCTCTTGGAAACAATTGTTATCATCACCTGCCTATTTAGGGTTTTATTAGCAGCCATACCCAGCTGGTTGATCAGAAAAAGCATTCAATTAGAATGGAGCAAAAACAGCATCATGTTTAGATGTAACAGAGTCTATCTTCTTCAACTACTTTCATTAAAAAAAACATTCTGAATTAATGCAGTTACTGATATAACAGTAGTAGTCCATATTTATCCAATCGAGGTTAGCCGAGGACATGAAGGGTTAAAACAGGCAACATGAAGACCCACTTCAAACTACAATTATTTTGGAGTTTTTGAAATTTAATTTGTCAGTGTGCTACCAGGGATGTAAAAGAGGATATTGCTAAGTAATTGTTAAGTTTGATGAAAATTGGTTAAAAGATCAACGAAAAATAAGAAAGAAACTAGTAAAAATTGCCATTTTTTGCTATTTACGTGTGTTTTCACTATATGGTTGGACTCATTTATCAAGTTAAACGAATGTTAAACAATCAACTTATTGTTGGCTACAATTGAGTGAAGTTTGTATTAGATTGCTTGAAAATTGAAGGAGATTTTAGTTTAAAATTTGTGTTGTACAATGTGTTGTACCATGTATGTACCAAGTTTGTGCTTGAAAATTGAGGGAGATTTTAGTTTAAAATTTGTGTTGAAATCGAGTTTTCATTTTTCCATTTTTTTTCACTAAAATTGTATTGTTGAGCTCGTCATGATATAAGTAACCAACATACCAAGTTTGAACAAAACTGGAGGAAAAAGTTGAATTTATTGATTTTTATCAGCTTTATTGATTATTGATTTTTTATGCTAAGAACCTATCTCTTACATTGTACAATGTATGTACCAAGTTTCTTCAAAATTGGTTCGATGGATTTCAAGTGAAAATGTATCACACAGACAGACAGACATCCTCTGTTTTATATATATATAGATTATGCTTGTGATTTATTTACAAATTGTTTCAAATAAGAGATTTTTTAAGCTGAGTAAAAATTTCTGAAAACACATGCTTGTGTATAATATGATCCCTTATTTTTTTTTATTTTTTTTTTGCCTTTAATTTTCATTCAAAATTTCTCGTATTATACACCAGAAAATACAGTAGATGGCATCAATAAATTTCTTTTGCTGTCTTTCAGGAATCCACAGTCATTACATATACATCTATGGGGAGGAACTTCTCCCAGATCATAAAAACTGGAAGTAGATATCAAAAAAACGTAACAATGACCCCCTGGAACAATAACTGCCGCAATGGAATGTACCCAAGGACAGCAGATATTTACCGTTTTAATGTTCCCACTGAACTGGTGCCTTGGGAGAAAGAATTTAAAAATTACAAACCTGTTGATTACACAGCTCCTGTAGTGCTTAGTATGCCTGAATGGGCAGATGTGGAAGTCAGGTAATGTAAAGAAAATCAATATTTGCCTTACCAATAGCAATGCTACTAACTTGCCAATATTTGCTATTTCTGAACTGAAGCATTGTCAATTTTTGATTAGTATTTTTTTCATCTTAATTCCAGTTGCTTTTTATTGCAATTCCCAGATTTTTGATCTACGATTATTTGCAATTAGTAATGATCAAGCATGGATAGCAGCTCGGATTGAGGAATCAGAGAGCTGAGTTTGAATTCCAATCAAATCCATTACATTCACTTATGTGTTAATATCCTTGGGAAAGGTATGAATCTTCTTCTCCCCTCAGCTATGGGTAAAGAGCAGGACAGACTGGGTTCTATAGCTTTGGATGGCAACTGGTCTACCGCAGAAAGAAATGGCAACCTACTGCGGGAAAAAATGTACCTTGTCAGTCATGTATTGAAAGATACATGATTGCCTAAGCGAGTATCACATATGGCGCATAACTGACTGAACGATCATAAATAAAGCTCCCGTGAGATTCAATTACATTAATTTCAACTGGGTCACCGAGCCTACATTCCAGGACAGAAGCTTCCTCAATTTGGCTACAAAGATCAACTAGTTACAGGTCAACGAGTTTGCACTCTAGGGCAGCTGTCTCACCAATTAGGCTACAATGGTCAACTGATTACAGTGGGTGTCCTGGCAAAATGACATGATGAGATTTGAATCTTTTATATTTAACATTATATTTTATTCACTTCACTACTTACTCACTTACGCTTGGCCAATGTGTGGGGTGCAGCCCGCATCCTTGTGCAATGCATGGACTACATGCATTCTCCTGTAATGAGAGACTGCCTGATCCACTTTTGGGATGGTAGTTTATATAACTGCATGTAATACAACTTTTTCCCATGCTTGCAAAACTGGATGTAGATGTGAGGTCACATGCTTCTCCGTTTGGTAGTCAGGAGTAACTCTGCATCAAACACTGATGCACCTGATTTCTTTGTTGATCAGGTGTGACATTGCATTCAATACTTTTTTCAGTATCATGCTATAACAGTAATTTCTTAAAAAAAAAACAAATATTATAGCTATTTTTTAATGACTGACTAGCTTTTGTAGCCAAATTGGTAATGCATCTGCTTTGGAAATGCAGGCTCCATAGGATAAGTGAGATTTATTCATTTTCAAATCTACATCACTTTCTGATGATTATAGAATGATAATCTGGAACTTGCAATAAAAGGCAATTAAATAAGGAACTGAATGAAATACTGAAAAATTAATCATTTAAACATTTCTTTGTATTATTGCCAGCATAAATTTTTTTCATTCTAATGAAGTTATTAACGGATTCATGGGTAGTAAAGAAACTTGAGAAAATCCAGGTTTTATCTTAAGAAGCTTATTTTCTTTTTCTTTAATTACAAATTCTTTCATCTTATCTTTTTTGTCATGTTTAGAAACATAAGTTTACTCACTCACAAGCCCTGTAGATGCCACTGAACATTATGGGGACCACAGTTCTCAACATGCTAGCCTTGTTCCTGTGGACTTCATTGTAAATAGGTTCTTTAAGGGATTGAGTTGTTAACCAACCAGTTTTGAATTCAGAATTCTTTTTCTCCTAGATTTGCTGTCGTCCAAGGCTCAACATCCCAGTCTACTTTACTATTTAACCCATAACTCGGAGGAGGAGGAGGAGAGATGGATTCATAACTTTCTCAAGAGTATTTACATGAAAGTGGATGTAAGAAACTCAATTGGAATGTGAACTTTGCTTGCTGATTTCTTGTCCAAAGTTGCTCACATGTACATGGGGTCTAATAGACCATGTACATATCCAACAGAAAATTCCTTTTTAATTCTACATCCAAAGGCAGTGTTGATAATATAATTGTTATCAGTGTGGCAGTGAAAGCAGCAGATAGAGTTTAACTCCTGTTTGATTTATGCTGATGTTATGTTTTATTGAATGTTACACTAATGCCCTTAGAAAAGGCATGAAACCATCTTCCTCATACTATGGGTTAAATATCAGAGTAGACTTGACTCTCTTGCCTTGAGGTGGCAACTAGCCTAGAAGAAGGAAAACTCTGCATTCAAAACCAGCCTAAAAAATGATAGGGTTTCTGTCAAGCAATTTTGCTGTAAATGCACCCACTGCTGCTACAACTACAGTCCATGCATTGCTCCAACAACTCTAATGGGCTGCAGAACTCATGACATCATGTGCCATTCTACAGCCTAGAAAATATCTCTAAACATTCACTTCGTCCTACTGGCTTTATTGCTTTGCTTGGGGTGAAATGATAAAAAAAAAGACTCTTTATCTTACCAGTTACAATAAAATTAAAATAAAAGATACCAAGATATTTTTCACAGTCTATTGCTATTCAGTATGTCAGATTGTCATTTCTCAAATTTCTATATTATAAAAGAATTGATTCTCTGTCCGTCACACACACACTGCCTACATGTAACTTTGCGTGTGTGTATGCTTATGACTTACATGCATCCTCTTCATGCTCAGTCTGAAGAACCCCTACCTTGGGCTGAACAATAAAATCAAAGTTGAAAAACAAAACTTATCAACATATAATTTTGTGTGTCCCTTTGAATTAATTTTTCTAATTCTTTTTGTATTTAAACTGAATATATTTTCTAATAAATGTTGTATTGTAAATGGACAAACAATTTAGATTTGAAATTTGACCATTTAGCTGTCAGTGAAGTGACAGGTATCAAACTAATTTGAGAAATATGCATTGGTATTGAGACTGAAATAATGTTTGCGGAATTTATGAGTTATTGCATCAGCTGGGAGGGAAAATTGTTGGTCGAATTTGTTCTGGAGAAATGTTGTATTAATCACTGTTGTTGACAGAGTGGAAATTCAGGGGCATTGGTTAGTGAACAATAAAATCAAAGTTGAAGACAAAACTTATCAATTCCTTGTGAATATATTTTCTAAATATAGTATTGTTAATGGATAAACAATTTGGATTTAAAATTTGATCATCAGTGAAGCAGTGGAGAGAAAATTAGCTTCAATAAATTTGCTCTTCAATTCAAAATTTTGAAAATGATATTCAAATCTCTGGGTCATAATTTTTTTTACTTTGGTAGTTTTGGATTTTCCACTTATTTCTTATTATGTAGCTTAAAATTTGTGCCTAAGATACTAATAACTCATTAAAGGCTACCATAGAAATTAGTTGATATGTAATTGCACTCTTAAATATTTTGAACTGAAAATCAAAAAGTTATAGTAAAATTTTCAAAATGGCAGAAAAGAGAAAAAAAAATGGCTGAAAGGAGTATTAGAGATTTTGTATCATTTGTACTCCTTTCTTTGCTCATTATCTTTTCACTCTCTCTCTCTGTCTATGGCAGATGGGCTTTTACAGCCATATCACATTGAAACACCGATTCTCCTACAATCTCTGAAAGTTAAGCAATGTTGAACCTGGGTGACTGCTTGGGAATACCAGGTTTGGATGTGTGGGTATTGTCATGGAGTTGGAAATCAGAGAGCCAAGTTCCAATTCCATTTGGGTTCATCATATTCACTTATGAACAAATACCCTTGTGAAATACATGAAATCCCCTCTTCTTTCCCCAGATATGGGTTAATTAGTAGTACCTGTATCACTTAATCATTATTATCTCCAAAAGATTCTTGCAATCTTAAAATATTTTCTGGCTTTAAATAACCTGCAAAAGGTTGATAAGCAATAAAAAGTAAATCAATCATAAGCCTAGATAACACCAGTGAAAATGCAATATCAAAAGTTTAAAATGAATTTTAAAAATGAAAAAAATACTTTCTTAAAGTTTTTTTTTAGTTTTAATTTCAAGCCAATAGATTAAAATTAATATTTCCAATATGCAATGTACTTTGCTGTATTTCAAAACTAACTTAAATTGACTGGAAAGAATTTTTTTTTTTGGTTAAAATAGCTGATTTGTCATCTTTCATTGCAATGTAATTCTCTTTATTAAAAGATTTTCCATAAAATATACTTTTCTGAAACTTTATTTGAGGAATATTAGCTGAAACAAATATTATTTACTTTCAGTTTAACATATTGCAGAATTGCATTTTTGTAAAATAGCGGTATCTGTTTATTTAAGCTGTTGACATGTTTGACAGCTTCATGGTAGATGTTTATCTAATGTTCTTCTATTACCAGAAGAAATATTTCAATATAACAGGAGCATATACATATATAATTTTTAAGTACTTGGTAATCTTAAAAATTTAAAAAAATATTCTGTCATCTGTTTTATTGAATTTTAGTTACTTTCTGGCTTTAAATTTACTTTAGTTATTGCTCTTATTTTCTGATAACATTGTGTATGGTTGCCCAAACTTACAAAAATCAGCTTATTTATACATATACAAAAAAATTCAAAATTCTCTAAAAAAATATTGGTGTTTGATGATTTGTATTAAACTTTTTATTTATGATTAGTAAATATAGTTTATACTAAATATCCAAAAGGGTGAAATTAATATAGAATTTTAAAAGATTTTTAACAAAATAAAAACAATTCTTGTAAAAATTCATTATTTATCATAAAATTTTTTTCTCTTAAGATAATAGTGTCCTAAATATATCTTATTTATAAAAGCAATTAAAAGCTTTTCTAATTAAATAATGTCATAGTTTTATTGCATTTTTTATTTCCTGATTCAAAGCAGATTTTCATAAAATGATGTTTCTATTTGATAAAAACAAATTGGGGATTTAAATTTTCCAAGAAATACCGCTTTTAACTAATACAAATATGAAAAAGCTGAACTTTTAATTTATTGAAATTTCATGAAATTAAGTGGAGGTAACAGAGGTAAAACAAAAATATTTTTACCAAGATTTTCTAAAATCTAACAATTACTTGATCTTTGCAAGAATTTCCAAAACAATGTGTTTTTTACCATTAAAAATGATGCTAAAATTCCCATAGTAATCTTTGGTCCACCACTGATGCTAAAATTTTGAATTAAGAAAGGATTACAGAATTTAATAAAATAATAAAAACATACTTTGATCTGAATAATAACATAAACATTTTAACAATAAAACTTTGTTTTTATCAAGTTTAGGGCCTTTTTTCATCATGGTATGTTCTTTTAAGAAGAGTTTTGGAGATACCAAATCAAAGCTTATAGTAGATTGTGCACCAACATGAGATGATGAGAGCCTGGCTTTAAGTGGCCATATTTATTTTCCCTCTGGTTACATCCAATGAACTAGACTGAGGCTGCTGGAGTAATCCCCTGATCACCTCTGTCACATCAGTCTGGGACTGTTTTTTAGCTCTCTTGATTGTAATGTACAAGAGAACAAAAATGGATTCCCTCTGGTTAGGAAATCTTTGGTTTCTTTCATAGATTCAGGAAAAACATCTTCTGGACAAGTCAAAGCAGTGTAAATTAATCTTAACACTTTAAAAATTAATTTTGTTAATCATACACAACACAGTTACTTTTGAAAGAATATTATTGTATTTCAGGCTAATAGAAGTAAGGGATATATTTGCTGAGTGATTAGATTTCTTTTGCTTAGCCAAAATGTTGATGAAAATTATTCCAATGGACATTGAATTCTTAGCAATGTAGCCTAATCAAATCATACGACACATTGTATGATTAAATAAGGACAAGACATTGGGAATCATGTGACCAACTAAGGACATGTCAGTAGGTGCTGATGTTGAGTGCATATGTAAAGCAACCAGAAAGCATTTGTGCAAAGTTTCTCTTTTCTTGCTTTTCAAGTGCCCAATGATTCAGCATGGGCGTGGCAGCCTCAACCCATATTGTTGGAAGTGATCAGGCAATGTGGAATGATGAAACCTTCTACTTTGTTTATTTTTTCTTGCTAATTTATGGCTGAATAAATACTATCAATGATAGAAAAATGTTTTCTTCCACTGCTACTGTGAAGTGAGTAGCCATTGTCAAATACAAAATAAATAACAGAAGTGTTTAACAAACAGAATTGACAACGTTTGCAATAAGCAATAACAAAAAAAGAAGGCAAAAAAAATAATATAAAGCAAGCAAACAATATATGTAAGGCAAATTAACAGTTATAAGGCAAAGTAACAGTAATATGGCAAAAAGTTTACAAACTAAGAATTTGGGGTTGACACACTAAAGCAAGTTCGGACAAGCAAATGTAGCATTCTGACTTCAAGACAAGACAAACTGGGACTGAGTCAGATGGAACCGAGAGCCAGCCTATTATATTGGCTACGGAAAAAATTGCAGCATGCATTTGTGTGCTTCTGCCTATAAATCAGGTTGGGGAAAGTGTTTTGCAGTCATTCCTTGGGATTGATACCAACAGTTAACCATTACAATAAAGAGATGGCCGGCCATTACACAACTTATATTCCATTTGGTACCATGATAAAATTTTATAGCAGTTTGTACGGTGATTCCATCTATAAAATTTTATTAGATTTTTTTGTTAATAATAGCATTTTGAAAGATTTCTTAGGTAAAACCAATGTCCAATGTCTTTCCCTTTCTCTAATATCAACAGTATTTTTTCTCAAAACATGTTTTCTTGCTTACATTTTTATTTTCTCTTATTGTTTATATATATATATATATATATATATATTTATAATCATCTTTGTCAGGAATACAACCATCCGGCTAAATTTTAACCAAATTGATGGCAAAGTTGATCGAACATCTTCTCAGAAAAAATATGATGTTATTGACGGTGTACCAAGGTAAGTATTCCTTCCGCATTTTACACCTCTCTCTCTCTCTCTCTCTCTCTCTCTCTATATATATATATATATATATATATATATATATATATATATATATACACACATGCACCGATTTAAAAAAACAAAACACAAAGGCATTTTTTATCTTTAGGACAAATAAATCCAAAAAAGCAGGTGAGGAGGGAAAATTGTAGAACACAATTAAAATATATTTACTAGTAAAATAATTTAAAAATAAAAAATAAATAGTTCCATATATATATGTGTGTGTATATATCATCTCACAAGCGTCCTAAGAGTGAGAGGTAGGGGAGGAAAGGTGGAGATAGGAGATAGTATTACGTTTAAATAGGTAAAAATTGTAGCAATAGTTCTAGTAGTAATTGGGAATGTTATTTTTGGTTTACTATAAAAATTCTAGAGCTGAATTGCATGTATTTATGTTGGGGTTATCACTACTAATTCTGTAATCAATGAACGTGTTTTGTGGATTAAAATTTAGAAGTGGTGATTTCCTCTAAAAAATAAGGGATGTTAATATAACCTTTTATAATCAAATTTTGAAATATTCCTGGACTGTATAGCATGTAGAATAATTATTACAAGCAGGATTGTTCATAACCATTTTCGATTCTCACCTGTTGAAGTGCAGTTGAAATGCACTGAAACCAAGTTGCATCTTTGTAGTTGCGGTTTTGTCTATATGATAAAATTATAATAAAGGAATAATATATATATATATATATATATATATATATATATATATAAGCATGACACATAAAGTGAAAAAGTAACACAATTTGTTTTATTCTGTAAGAAATAAGGAACACATTCAAATATGTCAGGCATCAAGATATAGCTATACATCACAGGTTCACATCCCTATTTCTCAACATAGTGTCACCACCTCTTTTAATGACAGTGTTTCCCCTATGAATGATGTCATTTATTCCAGCTTTGTAAAAATCAGCTGGCTGCTCATGGGGTGAATTCCTTTCACTTCTTCATCACCACTATAACGTCTGCACGTTGGTGCTTCTTTCATTGGACCAAAAGAGATAGAAAACTTTGTGAAGTTTTACAATCGTTTCCTCTTTCAGTAGCTAAAAACTTGATTACTGCTCTTTGCATCTGATGGACTTCCAGCTGGGCAGACATTTTCATATCAGTTCCCTTATTCATTCAGCTGGAAAAGAAAAAAATTAGAAAATTAAAACTCAAGAGTGTATGTGATTTTACATCTGTAGCAAATTTCAAATAATTTCTTTGAGAAATGTGCTTTGTATGATGAAAACGGGCTTTACTTTTTGACTCACATGCGTATACATACATACATATATATAATTATTTATTTAAAAATATGATTCCCACACGCTACATAAGAGGTCTCATGTTTCAAAAACAAGAGCCAAAACTTCAATATATTTTCGGATCTTGTTTTGAAACATAAGACCTCTTATGTAAGCATGTTGGAATCATATTTTTAAATAAATAATTATATTTATGCTCTACTTTTGTATCGAGCACTATTTTTTAAAAATAATAACAAAAATACCAAAGAACTTTGGATTATTTACCTAATGAGTTCTTTCCTATTTTCTATATATTTTCACATATATATATATATATATATATATATATATATATATATATATATATATATCTAGTTAAACCTAGAGAGTTAGACAAACCTACCAAGGTTTCACCTGCTGATCATCAGGAAGTCCGACCTTCCCTGACAATCCGCTAGAGATGAAACCTTGGTAGGTTTCTCTGGCTCTCGAGGTTTAACTAGGTCTTTGTATTGAGCACTTTATTTAGTTGTTTTGGATACTTGCATTGGGGTTTTTTTCTTTGGGCCTTGAACTTGTATGCTGGCCGATTATTTTCAGTTAACGTACATGTTCTTGGTTCTTTCTTTTTTTGTACCTTTTTTTCCCCTTTGGTATTGGCTGGTTTATTTGCAAATCAATACACCGAAGGTTTTCCTAGCAAGTATAGTTTATTATACTTATAAGATTTCTATTAATAATAATAATATATATATATATATATATATATATATATATATATATATAAACATGTTTTTTGATGAATATAATCTAGACATATTGTGTCTACTTTATTTATATTTTATTCTTTATATTGATCCTTTTAAGTTCTCTAATTAGTTTCTTGATATTGAGATAAAATCCATCAAGGAAGGCACTGTAGTTTTTTTTTTTTTAAATCCAAATACTTTCGACCTTTTTCAAGATCATCTCCAGGGGTAAATTACAAAGACAAACAGGCTATTGTAGTTATGCTAACATTTTTTTTTTAAATTTGTGTTCCATTGTCATAGTGATTTGTAAACACACTCTGTTATAATTATTTTAGAATTTTAAAATTATAAAAGTTGTAGTCATGGAATTTCTACAAAACAAGCATTTCAGTATAAGGGATATATTTATATTTTTCTTTTACTAACTGATTTTTAAAGTCATAAATAACAATCAACAATTTCTCTCTTTACAATATCCTGATTTTTAATTAATCTCATGTGTTGTTTATAGGAACCCTATAGGACGTACAGGTGTTTGTGGCCGAGGCTTGCTAGGACGCTGGGGGCCCAATCATGCTGCTGATCCTATTGTGACCAGGTAAATTGCATAATTTTAATTTACTATTTATTATTTGATTAAATGATTAGAATTTCTAACATTCTTGGAAACGGTGAAGAATTGTGTTTTTTCCAAGCCATTTATTCTGTTCATTCTAGGATTACATAAACTAGTGTCTAATGAAAATGTTTCATCATGGCTGCAATCTGTGAGTTGAACAAAGAAACTACAAGATGAAACGTTACATTTATTCAACTTGGGGAAATCTGTTGTTTAATTTAAAAAAAAAAAAAAAAACAACATTTTTCTATCTGAAAACTAACTTGTAAAACCAGAATCAAACAAGTAAAATTGAAATATCTGGGAAGTATTACATTGAAATCTGAAGGTGCATTGGAATTGCAAAAGATGCCTTCCAAAAGCAAAGTATTAAGAAACAGGAAAATTTTGTTAGAAACAAAGAAAAGAGTATGGAACTGTTTTGTAATATCAGTCCTCTTATATGGCAGTGAATTCTGGACAATTTCTTCGCAGATGAAGAAGAGACTTGAAGCAACAGAAATGTGGTTCTACAGAAAGATGCTGAGAATTCCAGACATTGAACATATGAGCAATAATGAGGTTTTTGAGTAAATGGAAATGAAATTACATTACAGTTGACATTTCTATGACACATAATGAGGAAAGAGGCCTTGGAAAATCTGATACTTACAGGACAGATTGAGGGCAAGATGGACAGAAGAAAACAATGCATAACTTCCCTAATGAGCTCAATAAAATGGAGTTTTAGAGAAATAACAAAAATTCAAAATTTATTAAGAGCTACAAAAGACAGGGAATTATGGAAAGACAAGATTGCCAACAACTTGAAGAGACATAGTGTATAAAAGAATAATTATTCTAAATACAAGACATAGTTGTTTAATTTTGTTTGTGGCAAGGATGCTGTCACAGTGCTTGTTTCCCATAGCTTTCTCTTATTTATAAAAATGGCCACATCTGAACATATGATTTTTATTATATATGCAACTAGTCTGCTGAGATTTGAAACAATTCCCTTCATCCAAAATGGCAAGATGACTTCTACTTTGATCATTTTTTGACATGACTTACAATTCACTTGATCCAAGACTTTGTTCAAACTACATTTCATTTTTTTGTTTTTGGATATTCCACTTGGACATGGCACTTTGTTTAAGACCTTTCATTTAATGTGGTAGAATTTGAGTTGCCATTGTTTTTTTTTTTCTTTTTTTGCTTATTTTGTATTACAACTACCATTGACTGGTAGGTGAGGATTTAGCTTTCTTGCTGGAATTTGACCTAAGATATTTTTATGAAGATTAAGGATGCAACTTCAGATACTTTAAAAGTTACTTACAGATTCTTGAAAACTTTTGGGAATCAAAATTTGCATCCCTATTCCTGAAACACATTCTTCTACCTTGCCAAATAGAATTTTCTTTTCTACATAGCACAAATGCCTCATAATCCGGAATTGTTTTTTGAGTCACAAACAATATTTTTATTATACGCTGAGCTCCTTGAATTTATATTCTCAATTTTGTTGTTCTTATCATGTTTCAATGGACTTCTTCAGATGTCTGTGATATTTGGTAATCTTAGAAATTTTTGTAAGAAAAGTATTTTTTTTTTTGCAATTCATGATGAGATAATAGATTGTCAAAGTTTTATGGGTGTACAGAGCCCAAAATCCAGCAATAAAAAAAAAATCTCCACATCCCCGTCAAAATATTTTGAAATTAAGAATAATGGTAACATGAGTTGAACTAAATATGATAAATTTTCAAAATGTCCTCTCAGCTTTGTGCACACATGTAGTTACATCAATAGAAACATCACTTTAGTCTGAAGTCCTAAAAGACAAAACGCTACACACAAAAATGATTTTTTCACTTTTTCATTAATTTTCCTAATATGTATTTATAAAATTTCTGTATATTGAGTGTTTTTAAGTTTTGTTTATAAACTTTTTCTGAAATATCTTCTTTTTTTCTTCTCATTTCCAAAAGATGGAAGATGGAAAATAAGCAGAGAGTTAAAGGTAAAGATGGAAGAAATATTTTGCAATTCATTGCCATCCAAAGACATGACACAGGTGATTGGGCATTGCCAGGGGTAAGCAAACAGTTCCACACATCATTCTTGTATAGAACGGGTGGGGGATGCATATAAATGGTTTTGCTTGTATATCTATACAGAACTATATATTTTAGTGTCAGTGTTTTAGTACTTCAAACATTATTTTTAGTGGATGCCCATATTTGAGTAGATGTTCTGTTTATTTTAAACAGTATTTATTATAGGCACCTCTACTTTTTCAGTATACCTAAGGTTAAAATGAATTTTCATAAATGATAAGTCTTTCTTGCAGCTTTTATTTTAGCTTTAATTGAAAGCTAAAAAATTAAATTTACTATTTCCAGTAAGCAAAAGAATCTGTAGTGTATTTCAAACAGAAATTCTATTGTTTGGAGTTGATTCATTTTTTTTTTTTTGCTAAAAATAGTTGATTAGTGTCAACTGTCATTGCAGTGAATTTTTCTTTATTAAAAATCTTCCAAAAATAAAATATACTTTTTCTGAAACTTTATTTGAGGAATATTAGCTGATTTAAAGTATAATTAATCTGATTTGAAAAAAATATTATTTACATTAAGCTAAAAATAACAAAATTAAGTGCTTGTCAAAGGTTGTAAATCACTTGTCAAGTACTTCAGAAGCAGCTATCAAGCGATTTCCAAGGTGTTGATATGTTTATTATTGTTTTACCAGAGACTTTATCTATTAAAACATAATTTAAGGAAATGACAGGATGAACGCTTTTTTATATAATTTTTAACTACTCAGTAATCTTAAAAATGTTGAAAATATTGTCTGTAACCTAATTTTAGGAATGTTGGCTTTAAATTTAATATAGTCATCGATCTTATTTTCTGATAATGTCGAGTACGATCACCCATACTTTCAAAATGAGAATGTTTATACACATAAAAAAAATAAAATAATTTATAAATCTTGGTTCATTCATTGAATATTAACAAGCCATCACATTTATTGAATATTAGTAGCTCAGTCATGAAGATGAGGATACACAAAATCATTCAATATTTGTCAACAACTCATTTTAATTTCAAAATAAGACAAAAAATGTTGAGGATACTTGAAAACATTGAATATTAACAAACATGTATCTCAGATCTTTGACAGCAATGAAGATGATGATAGTTCAAAACATTCATTAAATATTAACCAAAGGATCTCTGGGAAGACAACAATGAAGAAGAAAATATAAAATGAATATTAACATCATCTAATCACAAAACTTTTAATAAGGGCAAAATCAAAGATGAAGATTTAATGTTTATTGAATATTAATGACATTGCATCACAAAATCCAAACAAAAGTAACAGTGAAAATGAACACTGTTAAAATTATTTATGGAATATGGACATCTGATTTAAATATCTCAGAATCAATGAAGATGGAGAAAGTCGAAAACATTCCTTGAACATCAATTCATTTCAAAATTGCAGACAAAAACAACAATGGAAAAAAGTAAAGGATGAGCTCTGTTTGGTTATTTTGCCCTGGATACACCTATTGCTGCCATAGCTGCAGTACATTTGGTGCCCCAATGACTCTAAATGGGTTATAGGAATTGTGACCATGTGGGTCTAAAATATTAAGTGAATAAGAAGCCAGCTCAAAGTTGTGCTTAAACTGTTGGGATTTTGTATCTAATTCTGGAAGTGATAATCTTAAACTGTTGGGATTTTGTATTTAATTCTGGAAGTGATAATCTTAAACTGTTGGGATTTTGTATCTAATTCTGGAAGTGATAATCTTAAACTGTTGGGATTTTGTATCTAATTCTGGAAGTGATAATCTTAAACTGTTGGGATTTTGTATTTAATTCTGGAAGTGATAATCTTAAACTGTTGGGATTTTGTATCTAATTCTGGAAGTGATAATCTTAAACTGTTGGGATTTTGTATCTAATTCTGGAAGTGATAATCTTAAACTGTTGGGATTTTGTATTTAATTCTGGAAGTGATAATCTTAAACTGTTGGGATTTTCTAATTCTGGAAGTAATCTTAAACTGTTTTTTTGTATCTGGAAGTGATAATCTTAAACTGTTGGGATTTTGTATCTAATTCTGGAAGTGATAATCTTAAACTGTTGGGATTTTGTATCTAATTCTGGAAATGATAAAATCTAAAATTTCAAACATTTACTAAATTGTTTTCCAATTCCAGGGCATGGTTGATCCGGGAGAGTTTGTTCCGACAACTTTGCAACGTGAATTCAGTGAAGAAGCATTAAATATTGAACACATGACTGTGGAAGAAAGAAACATATTGAATAATAAATTGAAAGAATTATTCCACAGTGGAAAAGAAGTAAGTCTTTCTTTCTTTTTCCTTTGAAATTTTAATTTTCTGGTTTGTTCTTTTTACACTATTTGACAGCAATTTCAGTAGCAAAAAGATTTTGTTTAGTTTTAAGTATTTAATATAAGGAAAACCTTAAAACAAAAAACACATGGTAAACATAAATATATATTTATGATTAATCCAAATATAAAATTTGTCATTTAGGGCCTCTGCCATATGGGAACCCATTCTTAATATAGGCGTTAAGTCTACTGCCATGACTATTTTGAGGCTCTTTTATTTTTACTATTAAAGATGAGTATCCCAGGATTGTGAATTCCTACACTATGCATAGACAGGTTAACAGCAGTTTCTAACAGGAACATGAGGTCAGGTTTGACTTTAAGATTGTGTTCCACACAAATGTCTGCTGAACTTGGGATCTATTTTTGTTTTTGTGAGGCTGGGTTTGTATCTTTGGTTTGTTTTTGTTTTTGAATATGGCTAGGTGGGCCTGGAGAATTACTCACGGGTCAAATAGAGGGAAAGACAGACAAGAGAAAGTAGCGTGTGACATAACTGATGAGTTTGAGCAGATGGATGACAGAATGTGGTCTGGGGGAAGAAGCAAAAGGAAGAAACTTGTTGAGAGCTGCAAGGGAAAAGAGGGAGGTGGAGAGCCATGATCGCCTACATCCTGAAAGGACATGGCACATAAAAAGAAAGAAGGTATTGAGATTTTGGAACAGGTAAAGAATATTATTTATTATCTCCCTTAGTTTGTGCAAATGCCTCCATAATAAAGCCAAATAGAAAATACATAGTTTTCATAAAAATATTATTTAAATGAGGAAAATACCAAAGTAGAGAAAAGGCCGACGCAGTTATCAATGACATGGGAATCAGTTTCAATTTTGATATTTGTAAAATTTCCACGTATAAGACAACCTTTAAATCACCCTTAAAAATTAAGGGTCATCTTATAGTACAATTCTAAAAAAGAAACCTTAAATTCCGAGTGATGTTTGTAGGTAGGCTAATCTCGGCCTCTGTGCGATGACCAAGTAATAAAACCATTTCTACTTGATATAATTACTGGAATAACTTCATAATGAATTACCTATTTGAAGAATATTTCCATGTCAATGAAATCAGCTTTTATCCATGCAAGTACAGCTGAGAAAATGTAAATATCAAGTTATGATTACATTCACAGAAACTTTTATCTTTTGCTAAACTTCAAACTTCACTTCATACTTTCTTCATTTTGCTGGTGATTCCATGATTGATATGGGTTTAAGTTAATAAGAAATTTCAACTGGCTTAGACAGAAGTAAGGAACAAACTGAATAGAAAAAATATTGAACGTCAAATGTACTGTTATCATATATTATCGTAACTGTTATTAGTGGTATTTTGTGATTGTTGATGAAGTATAAGTAAATGTCCATTAGTACACCAGGCTGTTTGTAACTGTTTAGATATAGGAAAGGATGAAGAAGAATCAGTATTCACAAGAGATCACGTGATGAAATGTAAGCAAAACAATGGTTTTCCTTTCAGGGAATGTGTGTAGGAAAAACAAGATATAGAATTGGTTTTATTTCACTTACTTTGAATTTCTAAGATTATAGTAAGTAACATTTCCAATAACATCATCTTTATAGAATCAATAAGCAGTCACAGGCCCCCTCCCCAAAACTTTGATATGCCTGCACTTCTACCATATGTTGATTTCAATTTCCCAACCTAGGAGCCATAAAACACAAAGGAAAATTGTGGGAAAGGGTAGCACTTTTTTAAATTAAAAAAATCAGGGAATTATCCAATTTAAATGAAAATTTCAGTGCATATTCATTAATTATTTACTTTTATAATGAAGAGGTTATTTTATTTTAAAAAAATCTGAGAAAATTTTATTCTGTAATAACCACCAATATTTTCATGACTAAATTTTACTCAAAAAAATGTTTTAATATTTGTCTACATTTCTGAGATGAGGTATTATGTACACTATTTACATTATTCGGACTATTGTCCTCATATTTATTGCAACATTTCAGCTGTTGTACACTCCAGCCTGCTTCAGGTGGTTGGAATGTTGAACTGAACCCTTTATTTCGCTCACTGGGGTAGACTGTTCTAGTTCCACGTTATGTTTAATGGATGTCAGTTATCAGTTATCTCCTGTTAATTCCCCTCTCCAAAAAAAACCACCGCCTTAACCAGGTATTGAATTCACACTCTTTGGGTCCTGTCAGTAGATCTAACCAATGCCTTTATCCACTGTGTATGAATTTCTGGGTATTATAAACCTAATGTCTTCAGCAACATTTTTTTCCCAGTGCTCATAATGCAATTTTTGCTGTTATCATTGCATGTTTGTTACCAGAGCTCATATTGTAATTTTTGTTGTTATTATTGCTTTTCTCTGGCACTCCTTATTACTGGTTCCCATATTGTATTCATTTCTATGCTGGGCCAGCTCAGGAGATTTTTGTGGCCTAGCATATGTGCTGATTTCTTAAGTTTATGAATTTTCCAATGATATTCTTTGTCTATGATCTCAACCTGATCCCACAGAGGGTGGTGATCTTCCCTTTTCTCTCCATATGTGGTCAGCCATGCCTGATTTTTCCACTTCTCCTTGTGTTACAGCTTTCTGGTGTTCTTGAAGCCTTACCTTAAGGGGGCGGCTTGTCTCCCCATTATATTTCTTTCCGCAGCTGCTCAGGATAGCGTACACACAGTCTTTAGTCATGTTCTACTCTATGGGCAGGGGCTCTTACTTGGGAGAGATATTTGCGAAGTGTCGTCCAGCTTTTGAAGGTTGTCCTGATGTTATATGGACCGCAGAGCCTCTGTATTTTTCTCTGATAACCCCTTCACATAAGGCAAGCAGACTGTTTTCTGAGTGTTGTTGTCCTCCTCCTCTTGTACCCGCCTATCCCAGTTTTTGGGGGATGCTGCCATGTACCCAGGATAGTTGTTACATTGTAGGGTACTACTTATACTGACCAATTCTTTATCTAATGTCCCTGAGTCACCACTTATGACTTTTGCTCAGTGTTGTAAGCAGTGGATGATCCCTTTCTTTACACCGTATGGATGGTGGGAGTTGAAATTGAGGTACTGTCCAGTGAATGTTGGTTCACGGTATACGGATGTCTTGAAACCATGCTCTGTTTGAGATATTAGAACATCCAGGAATGAGAGTGTGTTGTTACTCTCTTTCTCCATCGTGAACTGTATTGAAGGTCTTATTGAGTTTACATGGTCTAATAGAACCTGAACATCTTCCTGGTGTAGCCAGAGTATGAAGGTGTCATCTACATAACTTAACCATATAGTTGGCTTTAGCGATATGGATTCCAATGCCATTTCCTCAAAGTATTCCATGTATATATTCACCATTGCTGGTAATAATGGTGAGCCCATTGCTAAGCCCTCATCCTGTCGATATATGTGTGATCCCATTCCGAAGTGTGTTGTTTGTGTACAGAAAGTCAACATCTCCATCAGATTATCTATTGGTATACTGGTCCGTTCTCCTAGGGTTTAGTCTGAGGCCAATCTGTCTCTGACTATTGAGAGTGCCTCCTCCGTGTGTACCTAGGTGAACAAACTCACCACGTCCAAGCTCACCATCTGGTTGGATAGGATGGGAGCATATTTGATTATTTCCATGGAGTGGGCAGAGTTTCAGACATATGAAGGAGATTTTCCGATCAATGGGTCAATTATATCTACAAGGAAGCGACTCAGAGGGTGGCACACAGCCTTGACAACTAACAATCGGCCTGAGTGTAATACCGTCTTTGTGAATCTTAGATAGACCGTATATGTCAGGAAGCTTGGTGTAACGCTGCGATAATTGCCTGTACTTAAATGTATTAAGTGGTAAAGTATTACATTTTGATAAAGATTAATTACCGATGCATCTCCACTGAAAAAAAAAGTTTTACAAAGATTCCAACACAACACAAATGAGATTGTTTTAAAAATTTGTTTTAAAAACCATATTTCAATTTTTTTGAAAATTTTTTATGTGTTGAAATCTTTAAATATTTATTTTTTAAGCAATCATTTTCTCGGTTTTATCTTTCTAGAAAAGTAAAAAATAGGGACTAGAAATTTTATTTTAATTACTAACCAGGGACTACTGGTTTGTATTAGTATTAATAAAAAAAAAATTTGAACTCCTCGTTAGTGAATAAACTCTGAATAAAAAATGATTTTACCGATATTATTTTACCCTCTTAATTGATTTAAAAGAACTGTTCAGAAAGAAAAAATAAAAAAAATAAGCGCTACTGAAATTAGCATTTTTGCCCCTCTCCCCAGTAGACATGGAACCCCCACACGGTTGAGAGGTTCAGGTTAGTAAGCACCATCCCTGTCAATTATTATTGTTGATGATTGACAATATAACTTAGGCAGAAAAAAGTACAAAAAGCCAAAAAATGCTGCTGAAACTGGCCCCTTTTGGGGCTCCAACCTCATCAGGGGTTCCTGTATATTAATGCACTGCACCAGCCATGCAGAAACATTATGTATATTATTAGTTGATGACTGGTCAATGTAATTCCAGTTTAAAAATAATTAATAAAAATGGTGGACAGCCAAAAAACAGTGCTGAAAAAAATGACAGATGCCACAATGGCCCTCTCCCCACTGGTCAGGGATTTCAGGGGTAACACGTACCCAGCAGTTATCTTATACTACAGGATTAGGATAAATTCATGAACATTTGCTATATTTTTTGACCTTGCCATATCTAAAGGTCACCTTGTATGTGGAAATGTACGGTATTTAAAAAAAAAATACAGTGTATTCATATTATGAATAGGGACCCTCAATGTCTAAAATAATAAAAAGAAACCTGAATATTTTTCAGTTCTGATATATGTTGAATCTAATGAATGCTTGTCAACAAAAATTAGTCACAAAAAATCTCCCTATTTTTGGTGAAAACTGATTTCTCTCTGTCCTGAGATAAACTACATCTGTTTCCTGGGTAAGATGATAAACTACATTCGACAGCAAGGCCTCTGATCAGGAGGTTTTGAGGAGCATGGAACCACCTCTTAATTGCTGGTGTTCCCAGGTCCACCCTGACTCAGGGTGGTAGCACCTGTTAGGGTCACTGCTATGGGCAAATAGTTAACCCCTAAACAGGAGTCAAAACACAATGAAAAATAGGTTTTAATACCAGCAATACATTTTTGTAAAAAATTATTACCAGCAATAAATTTTTGAAGAAAAAATTATTACTAGCAAATCATTTTTGGGAAAAAAAAAATATTACCAGCAAAACGTTTTTTGAAAAAAAATATTACCAGCTATAAAATCTTGTTGGCATTAAATAGCCCATTGAGGTTGATATGCCATAAACCAAACCAAACCACATTGCATTGTAACATTTATTCTTGCACGGTCACCAAAGTTAAGCAATGTCAAACTTGGTCATTACCAAGTGGGTGACCACTTAGGATTATCAGGTACTGTAAGCTTAGGTGCGTGAGTGCTGTAATGGAAAATGGAAATCAGCTCTCTGATTTCAGATTCAGGTGTGTTTCTTATATTCACTTCTTGGGCAAATAGACTTGAGAAAGGCATGGATCCACTACTTTCCCACTTCCAGCAATGAGTTAATTAGTAGAACTTGTATAGGTTGATAAGCCATAAAAATTCAATCAAACGGAAGCAGTTTTCTTCTATCAACACCACACGGCTTTTGGATGTGCCTTTTGCAGCTTAAGGTCAATATTGTAAGTCATTGACAATGTAGAAGATTTCAGTATTTGTCACAGTGAGAATGAGACAGAGATTGTATGGATGGAACCTTTCTAGGCAACTTGAATCTGGACAATATAAAGATTGCTTACCCATGCCACCAAAAACAATGTCATATTTTATTAAGTCCTTAAGATTATCAGGTTTTCATTTGTGAAAAGTTGGGTCACTGTGTCTTGCCAGAAGGTTTTTCTTGTCAGAGTCCATTTTGCACATTTACAAATCTACCATTCGTCTGTGCATTGAATACTGTTGCCATATCTGGTTTGATGCTCCTGCTATTCATCACAAAATCCAAAAAAGGATATGTCGATCTGGACTTGGCATCTTGACTTCATTTTAAAAATGTTGGAAAATATTTTCTGAAAACTAAATTTAGGAATGTTGACTTTAAGTTTACTATAGTCATCGCTCTTATTTTCTGATAATGTCATGTATAGTCTCCCATATTTTCAAAATGGGCATGTTTATACACACAAAAAAATTTTTTTTAATTATTTTAAAAAACTTAGTGCATAATATGAAGTTTTTCAATTTTTGATTAGTAAATATAGTTTTAACTTAATAACATTATCACTTAATGCGATCAAAGTTTTACAAAATCTTTAAAAGATTTGAAAGTTTATAAATTATAATTATTATAATTAAAATGAAAACAATTCTTTTAAAAATTCATTATTCATCAAAAAAAAATTTTTCTTAAGACTATAATGTCCTTAATATTTATAAAAGCAATTAAAAGCTTATCTAATTAAATAATATCATAGTTTTATTACATTTTTTACTATTTAGAGCAGATTTTCAGGAAATCTCAGAAACTGTTTGAAAATTAAATAAATAAATTGATGATTTACCTTCTCCAAGGATTCCTGCTTTTAATTGATAAATAAAATGATTCCATCAGAATTTAATTTCTTGAAATTTCATGAAATTAAGTAATGGGGAGGGGCATAACTGATATAAAAAATATATTTTTACCAAGATTTTCTAAAAATAATAATTTTAAAAATAATTTCATTTATTTGTGAATAAGTTTCTGAAAGTTTCATTAAGATTCAACAATTATTAGATTTTTGCTAGAATTTCGAAATCATTGTGTTATTTTACTGAAAAAAGGTGTTAAAATTTCCATCATAATCTTTGCAGTAATAAAAAGTGTATTTAAATTGGATTTTTAATTTATAATTTGTTTAATTGTATTTAATTTTCAGTTGTATTTTTGTGCATCTACAAGAAAAAAAACATACTTTTAGGAACAAATCAAAATTTGAAAATAAAATTATCAAGTGAACTTTGTTGCGAAACATTTTTTTTTATTTGAATATTTTTATGCAAAAATACATTGATGAACGAACAAGCACTCATAAAAATAACAAAGGGAATTTATAAAAATAATGTGTACACTGCATATAACTGAATTTGCAAAGATAAGGACTTTGAAAAGGGAGGGAAAACTACATTTGTTTCTAATTATTATATTAATAAGTAGTAATTCCTGGGGGATTAGTTTATTACTTCATAACAATAGACAGCCGGTCTTCCTACCACTTTAGGTCCAGCAGAAAATTATATTTGTTTCCAATTATTATATTAGCATCTAGTAATTCTTGGGGGATTAGTTTACTACTTTATAACAATAGGAAACAGATCCCCCACTTTATGTCCGGTAGCAGCTTTAATAGATAACTATATTTATTCCCAATTATTATTGCTAAATTCTATTCTTTCACTGATTCAATTTTTTCATATCCTGACTTCATAAACATATTTGAAGTGTCTTCATTGTTGCAATAGAGACACTGCCAGCTGTTTTTGCTAGTGCAAGGGAGATAAATATCTCACATGCACAGGCAAGATTAAGAATCAGACAATACAAAGACATACAAATACATTTGGGGTGTGTAAAAAAAAAAAAAAAAAAAAAAAAAAGTAAAAACAAAAGAGAGAGAAAGATTTGTAATATTTTTGTTTTTACAGATATTGTTATCAGTTGAGAAGTATTGCCAAATTTACACAGAAACTTTGAACTTTAAAATCTTTTTCTTCTCAGATCTACAGAGGCTATGTTGATGACATTCGGAACACAGATAATGCCTGGATTGAAACTGTTGCTATGTATTTCCATGATGAAATTGGAAGCACTGTGGGCAATTTGACTTTACACGCTGGTAAGGAAAATTAAGTTTTTTTTTTTTTTCAAGTTGAATCAAAGCATTCCATTTAAAAAAAAATGTTCTTGACAAATCATTGAAAAATAAACCTCTTAATCCAACTCATTGTTTTTTACCATCTCATCAATCAGGTGTTTATTTACACATTTATTTACAAATTCACTAGGCTATAATATTATATAACTATATATAAATAGATATAGGTAAATATAGGCTATGTCTAATAACTTAATCTAATATTAAGTCATTGGTTTGTGAATTTGGTGGCATAGTAATTGTGAGTTCAATCCCTGGGCTGGGTAGTGCAGACTTAGTTATTGCTGAGGCAGTTTCCACTAAATCTGAGTGCTATGAATTAAGATTGAGATAAAACATCTCTAGACATGGACAGTGGAACACGATCAATTCACCCCCACCCCCCAAACGGATTAAATAAATTTTCAGTTTTTTCCCCTGAAGGTTACTTGGGTTGACAAGCACCTGATGATGGCCAGAGGCACAAAAGACAAAATGTTGTGATGATAGCAACAAAGATGAGGATAATAGTCTTCATAGATATTTAAAAACCACAGCAATAACAAAAACAATACCATTAGAAAACTGAATGAAACCGGCTAGGCTGTGTTGAATGCCAAGAATTCTAAAATTTAAATTTGTCATCCCTACATCTTCAGCATTTTCTGCTTGGTACATAATTATAATCAATGCTATCATTTATATTTTCCACTCCCTATATATATATATATATATATATATATATATGTTCCCAGGAAATCCGGTTGAGCTCTCTTGAGAAAAGGGTAACTTTAAAAACAGAGGTCCATACCACTATTAATGCATTGCTCCCGAACTGAATTTAATTTTAACTCTTTAGACCACTGACGTATTTCACATTGAAAACGTTAAATTTTCCCTTCCTCTCTGATAGCTTAGGGCTAGAATCTCTGACTGATATCAAATCCGTCGAGTTTCGATCACGGCTTGAAGCAATCGGATGTCTAGCCACACTGAAGAACTGTGATACAGCAAAACAGTCTGTATGTGGATGACATTATATATATATATATATATATATATATATACCAATAACATATACTGTTGAAATACAGAGAATGAATGTCTATTATGTCTGATCATGAGCTGTTCGTACGTTTGCTTTAGCTTATGTTTAAATAATGATCTGCTGCCCCAGACACACGCACATATATATATATATATATAAAAAAAGAAGCATTTGACACTCACAAGACATGTCTTGTGAGTATCAAATTCTTCAAGCCTTCTTTCCTCATTATGTGCCTCAGAAATTTCAACTTTTTTTTTATTCTAAGTACAAATTTTCTTTTTTGTTTCCATTTTCTTTAAAACTTCCTTGTTGCTTACATGCTCTGGTATTCTCAGCATCCTCATGTAGAGCCACATCTCTATTGTCTCAAGTCTATCCATCTGTAAAGAAATTGTCCAGATAATTGTTCTTTATAAAACATCTGACAAATTCTATTCGAAAGATGTATGTATAAATTTGAATTTTCTTTTTTCTTCCATTATTCTTTTCTTCATTTGCAGGAGATGATGCTGCTAGAGTAAAATGGATGGATGTCAGCAACAAACTGAACTTGTATGCTTCGCACAGGTTCTTTCTGGAGAAAGTATCCCAAGAACTCAATGCCAGCTGGTAAAATGGGCAGAGAGAAGTAAAAATGAGAGGAAATAAAATAAAACAATATTCACTTTTACCAGACAATAAATTCCTCTCCAATTCCAATTAATTTCAAGGTTAACCAAGAATTCAGAAGCATAAAAATCCTGACAAATATATCATTTTGGTCATACATGTGAATTCTTTGATATTTGCACAATTGCAATTTATCAAAAAGCATTGCTGCTAAGTCTGATTCAAGGCCACCAATATCTGACATCTAATAAGGAATGAAATCTCTAGCAACAATCTGGGAACTTATTCAATATGGATCAATTGTTATTCATCCATATCGAATATATAATTAGAGTGTGAAAAAACACTTGCCATAAAATAATTCTTTAATTAAAATTAACCCATCAACTGAAGCAAAAATTATCAAAATGTTTAAATTGGTTAGGCAATCTCCTGATTAGGCAATCAACAAAGAAAAAGAAAAAAATATATATATATATATATATATATATATAAATAAAACAAAAAAATTCAGGTGCTCTGTATAAGGCAAATGACATCTTATTGACTATTAAAATCTGTGGTAAAGTCCTGAACTTTGAGCAGGATTAGTTGATTGGATGACTTTTAAAAGCCTTATGCTACTAAATATTAAATTTTGTGACTTGGGACTTTTACGTTGGCCTAACAATGTTGATTCAAAGTAAATTCAAAATTTAATTATGCTGGACTTCCCAACGTTACCCAATTCATTAAATGCGGCCCAAAATGTGAACTCTGCTTGTAGATCTTCAATATTTGATTAATAAGTGAATATTAAGTGGGGAATCATTTTTGTTTTATAACTAACTTATAAACAGATACCCCATTTTTTGTCATAGCAGATTCTTTCTACTTATGTAGAAAAGAAATTTGTAGGTTATCAATTTGGACTACTTTTGGAAGGTCAGTGTTACTAAATTTTGATTTTACAATACTTGTTACTTTGGAAGGGGGGGGCGTTTAAAAGAAATAAGCTGTGTTAATTTGGTCTGCTAAGGAGAAAAAAATCCATTCAAAATTTTATTGTGTTATGTTTACTAATGCAGCCCAATTCACTATTTGTTAGCTCAATCTGGCAACCCTGCCTTTGAGTATTAAAAATAATGCTTTTGTCAATTAAATAATTTCTTTCTTGTGATTTCAAATTCTAGGTTTGTTTTTCTCTAAACTTCTCATCAGAGAAATTAAATTTTGATTTGAAGAGGGTTTTCTATCATTTTTTAAAGAATTTCCAAATTTTGTCCCAACAACTGTACTATTTCATTTCCACAATGTTTTGACAGATTCATTCTTCAGCCTTCTTCAGTTGTATAACACTATAAGAAAAGAAGAAAAAAGCAACTTATTTTTACCAGGCCAATTAATGAGCAATTTATTTTCTGTTACTAATTTTTTTTTTTAAGAAATAATTTTTTGACTTTTTTCTTACAGATTTATATATTTGATGAAGGCTGAAGAATGAATTGGTCAAAGCACTATAGTAATAATATGAAAGTGCTCAATTGTATGGACTGAAATTGGAATAATTTGATAAGACTCTCCCACCACTAATACGTGCACATTCTGCATGGTTATTTTTGAAGAAAATCCTTTTTGCTATTCAAAAATGTTGATGTTGAGTTCCATCAATTCAAATCTGCAAACCGTTTACTTAGATTGTGGCAAAAAAAGAAAATAATTCTTAACAATAAGATCAGAAAATATGATGTTTTATTCAATAACATCAAACAAATTGAAAATGGAGTTTGTTAACTTTATTGTCAAGAACCTGTTAGTCAGGGAGTTAAGCTGGCTAAACTGAAAAATCTAAATCTTTGAAAAGATTAGGAAACTTTGTAATAATTTCATTCAGTTCTTTTAGTTTTTGTTTTTATCTGATCAATTAATTTGTTTCATTCCACTTCATTTGCTAATTAGATTATTAAAAAAATAAAAATGTTTGCTTTTGAATTGCTGAACCCTGACAACTTGCCAGTACACTGCCTTATATAAATGAACAAATCAGCAGCAAATGGCCAGTACAAAGTTGCTCATATGAACAGCCTTGTTCTCCTTACATGTTAGGCTGTGTAACTCTGACCATTTGCCTTTACTTTATCCATAAATATTTTAGGTAAATTTCACTATTTCAGAACTGCCTGTGTAAAAGAATAAATCAACCATAACAAGCAGCAAATGGCCAGTACAAAGTTGCTCATACAAACAACCTTATTCTACTTACTGTTATGGTCCGGTTCCTTGTACCACGGTGATAGTCCAAGGTAGAACCAATAAAGAAGATCTCAAACACGGATATGGAATAACACAAATATATTACAAACAGAAATATATACAGAGAAGTAGAAGTGTTAGTAGGAACAATCAGGTTTAGTAGTAATTGTCTGAATGCTACTCTGTTTCGGACTGCTTCTGACTCAACTGACTAACTTGCTCGGACTGACTGACAGACTCCTGAAGGACTTCAGTCCAGACTTCAGACTGAACTCCCTGCTTCCTCTTGAGGCGCCGTATTTATTACGTATGGAATAGTCCATTATGTTATTATGGGTAAGGTCCCATAACACTTACATATTTGGCCATGTAATTATTTTTGGTGATTAGACACTTGAGAGTTGTACAATCATTTCAATAGGTTATTAGTTAAATTGTAGATGTAAATAATTAAAAAGAAAAATTTTGCTTTTTTATGTACAAAACAGATTTTCTAATCAGAAATTGCATTCAATTGTATTTAAGTCATAGCACTGATGGGAATTCTTTTCATTGGCAGTCAATGAAGTAACATAAGAAGATGAAGTGAATTGTGCAAATTTGTATCCATTCAAAGCTGATAAAGTAAATCTTATAGAATATTCCTTGGAAATTCTATGGCGTTTTGTATCCATTCAAAGCTGATAAAGTAAATCTTATAGAATATTCCTTGGAAATTCTATGGCGTTTTGGAAATTGCAAGAATGGTAATAGTAATATTAACCATTTTCCTGCAAGGAAACACTTCGCAGTCATTGATTGAGTAGCCAGTACTGCTTTCAGTTAAAATTTATAAAATCTTCCTCTTAAAAACAACTTTTCAGGAAAAAAGGTTTCTTAAGTCCAGTAACTGTTAATACTCCTTCCAGTATTGATGGGGGTTTCTTTCCTAATCTTTTATTTGAAGTTGTTGAATGTCAACATCTTGATTATGACATTATTTTCTCTTTGAGTTCCATGTGATATCCATTTTAGTTGTTGCTATTGTTGGTAGTCCTCAAGTGATGTGGTTCCTCTTATTTGGTCAAATTCTTTGTGATTCTGTAGCACTAGTCCACAATTTTCAAAGAAGGATGATCTTTTTGTCAAAACCTTCAAGCGTTACTCACTCAAAGCCTTTTTCCATCATTGATCTTAGAAAGTGGTCATATACACCTGACAATTTAGATATTTCTGAACAGGTTTGAAAATCTTGATCTGATGAGTCTGTTTAAGCACATGACTCGAGTTTTCAGGTTGGTCACGTGAAATCCAGCAGTACTTGAACATTTACTTTTTCAACTTCAAAATTTAAATTAAGATTTATAGGATTATTACAGAATTTTAGTGTTAATAATATTTAAGTGACCATAAAGCTATCTGAAGCTGGTTGACACAAATCCATTACATATTATGCCTGAAATAATGACCAGCCCATGGGAATGAAACTAAGGATTAGCTTTTTTTATTATATAGTTGCTAGATTACCTATGATGTCAAAAAAATGATGGCATGGTCAAGTAATTTTAAAATTGTATCATAATTATAAAATAACAAACTTATTTTTGTATAAAAGTATTATATAAATTATTTCCTATGTGGAAGTACATTTTCTTTAAGAAAATTTTTAATCTCTCGGCCAGTTAAATTTTTTTTCAAACGTATATATCTACTAAATATAATGTTTATAGTAATAAGAAATTAATGTCAGCAGAGTAAAAAAGATCCATTAGCTGCTTAAAAATATTAGGATATCTAACTGAGAGATGTGACAAGTTGTTGATATACTATATGCAAAGTTTTGAATAAAATTTCATTCTTTTAGAATTTGTATTAAGCAATTAAGAGATTTTTTTTTCAATCCAGCAGTATTTCTTAATGCAAGGGAAAGTCAATAAAATTGTCCAATTGTTAGATTAAGCTTTGAACCATTGTACCTTAGAAATGATTAAAGATATCTTACTGGAATTCTCCGTGCTTTTTATAACACTTTTGGACTCTACTTCAAACAATAAGAATGTATTTAGCTCTAAGTTGATGATCACTCTTCTTGCTGTGACCTCCTGATCCAGTTTTCCTTTCTCCTGTTTCCTCTTTTTTAAACTTATTCACCGTTCTCTTGATGATGGAAGTCAGTTGAGAAGACAATGGGACTGACACAAAACAATTTTAACCTGTTTTCTTTCTAGTTAAATATCTCAAAGGCTTTTCAGTGATTCTTATGAAAAATGGCTAAGCATCTGAAAACTTGGGAAAAGAAACTCAATTAGTGTTTTTCTTTAGATATTAAACATTTTGTGGAATGGACAATTATCCTATGCTGTTACATGATTTGGACAATTTTGCTGTTACAACTGGTATGCATATGAAATGGGATCAACCTACAAACACATCCAGTCTAATCTAAATTCTTTTACTTCCACACAAAACATTCCCCAATCAACATACAGACAATGCTAGACATGAATAAAAATGCCAGTGCATAAACCCATGCATTACGATGCACAAACACACAAGAATTATACACATGAAACTACTTGACAAGACAAATATATACATAACCAATGAAAAACTAACCACACAATAAAAAAAAAAATACCAAATTTTTTTTCTTTTCTCCTCTGGATTTCATCTTCTAATGAAGTTTAAATAAAAGCAAAACAAGTTACATTTATAAACATTTCCGATTTGTTTCTTATTCTATCATTAATATACACACACACACATATTACAATGAATCATTCATACAAAAAG